CTCCCCCTTTTCCACCCTTTGAGTTGAGTCCAAAACAAGAAATATTCCTCGCTCCGCTTTTAACAACCGGTAATAAATTCAGTAGATTACCTAGGTACCACATTTAAATCAAGCTGTGGAGATCATTTTCCAAGTGTTAATAAGTAGTTGGTAGTATAAAAAGGATTAAATTATGGGTTTATAGTTTATGCAGAGTTCATTTCCTTTCTCTCTCTCTCTCTCTCTCTCTCTCTCTCTCTCTCTGTGTGTGTGTGTGTGTGTGTGTGTGTGTGTGTGTGTGTGTGTGTGTGTGTAAAGGAAACACCCATGGCCATCGGGATAAAAACGTGTGGTCAATGACCCTAGCACACACCATAACTTTTTACCCAATGGAAATCAGTCAAGTGCTGCAGATATTACATTATGGTCCTATATTCATACACAGAACCAATTTTCAATAGGGTGTGGCCACTAAATGTACAGTAGACGTTTGGGCTCCTATTTCAGTTTAATTTCCGTACAAGTTTCACTGCGCTTGCAACACAATTAGGACTATAAGTGCCGAAGACGAGGTGTTATCAGAATCAGAGGTAACAAACAGAAAAGTAGGAAAGATAAGGACATCTGATGTTTGATAGGAAAGCAAGTAACAAATCACATCAGAGCACCTGTCACCACCCACTTGTACTCTTCAAAAGGGATGGACAAGCTACAATGGTAATATACGTATTTTTAAAAATATTATGGTTCTCGCATAAATTTTGCTGATTTTGAGGTGCTGATTATTAATATGACATTAGATTTTGTCATCCAAATTGATAATTATTAGCTTTGGCGAGGCCTATGACTGATGAGTTACCACATGACTCACCGAGGATGTCGCATGTGCCATTCCAATCCACCTAGTTTTTTGTCGGGCGGTATCGTTTTGATTTGGTAGAAACATCCAAACTGAATTCTCATGGATTGATAAGTTTAAAAACTAGAGCTCGATTTCAAGTACAGATTGTTCGAGAGACGGACGACTAACGGTCGGTCGGTTTTTGGTTTGGTGGACACGCGGGTTAAGGCGCTTCCCCGTCGTACGTAGAAGACCCAAGTTTGATTCCCATTTGGGAGGGTATTTATTGAGTGTCTCGGTCTTTCTACTAGAACAATGCTTTGCGTTGACCATGACAGGTGGGATCTAGGCCCTCCTCCTAAATGGTATAAATTGTGCCGATGTTGGTGTGTGAAACATCACCTACATTTTAAAAAAAAAAATCTCTTTCTTTCACTGAGTCAGTGTGTCAGCGTGCTAGTCTTTTTTTCGGTTGCATTGCACTTGAAAAGTCCGATCTTTTTCATTATACTGGGTCGTCCTGCTCAGTTCATATATATCGGCAGTCCGCACGTGCAGCTTCTCTTGTAGTGTCAGTGAGGTTGGCCACGTTTCCTGTCTCAGGGCTCTGTGTGTCTTGCAGTGCGGAAGGAATTTGTTCCACAGTTTGGTCTGCTTCTCCACACTGGCATTTTGATGATTGTAGTAGTTGAAAACATATTGTTATGTACATGTGTTGTCTTGGCCTTGTATGTCATGTTCTTAGTCTGAATATAATCACTTGTTCTTAGCGGGCCGCTCATTATAATTATCTGGTGTCTGTGGTGCTTTGAAACAGTGTGTTTATAAGAGGTTTCATTTCTGCGTAATTGATGCTGTTGTCTGGCTGTAGTTTCTGTGCACATAGTTTTGCCATCCTGTCCGTTTCCCAAGACATCACAGTGCGATGGGGTCCACCCCATCATGATCCTCAGGCATTGGATACCCTCCAGTACCTCTCGCAGCCGTGGGAGTTTGTCGGCAGGGATTGCCTGTAGGACTGAGATGGCATCTGTCAGGAATGCTATTCGGCTTTGTGGGTCTACCACATCCTTGATGATGTTTGCTGCTTGTACAAGAACATCTGCCTCTGTCTGGTAGTTGGTACAATGCCACACTGTTGGGACTATATCTGCTTGGCGTCTTCCATTTGGGAACTGTATGCACACTCTCATTCCTCCACTTTTCATGGCATTAGTATTAGTAGCAGATCCATCAGTACAGGTCCTTATCCATTCTTCCAGCTTGGAGAGGGTAGGGGTTTTCTCTTCCTCAGATCGCTATGGTCATTTTTTGTGGTGAACATAGGGACAGAAGTGTTAATTGAAATGTGCCAGTATGTCAGTCAATCCATCTGTGAAAGTATCAGTTTGTCCGTTTTGTCAGTCAATAAACATATATCAATATCATATTATTTGTCAGTCTGCCGAGTTACTAGTCTGAGAATGTGTCGGTTTGTTGATCTGTTTGTCTGTCAATGTGTCAATGAGTCACTGCAACCCACATTAAAATTTGATTATGCCTAGTCAAAGCAATTCGTGGGTGTTGGTGTTCCTCAGCGCAGTAATGGACTAGTCTTTGACGCCACAAGCTACCTGTGATCTTTTGCAGACTGGGGGAGGACATATGGGAAGAGATGAGAGAGAGAGAGAGAGAGAGAGAGAGAGAGACAGAGAGACAGACAGAGGGGGGGAAAAATGAAAGAGACAGAGAGAGACACACACACACACACGCACACAGCCGTGGGCTCGTGCGACCAGTCAACAGTGACGGCACGGCGCGTGCAGCAACAGGCTTCTGGTTGCTCTCCTCTTCTGCCTCTCTGCCTCTCCGTCTCTCTGACTCCCTGCCCCTCTGACACTCTGCCTCTCTATCTCTCTGACACTCTCTGACACTCTGTCTCTCTGCCCCGGT